AAATAATTTATTCTCCAATAAACCCTCCCTTTCATAAAGAACATCACATTCTTCCATTCTCACCTTGCCTCCTGTTAATTCTTCAGATTGTAGCTTTTTTGTGGATATATACAGTGTAGAAAGAAGAGTTTCCAATTCTGAAAGATTATTCTAGTGTCTTTCTATTAGTGAAACATTAGGGTTATCTACATCTTCTGAAAAAGTTCTTAATTCTAACAAGCTCTATATCATCAAATATCCTCCTCATTGTGTTGCTTGATCAATAATTGCTCCTTTTCCTGTTTTCTTCATATTTTTTTGGAAGCAGGGAAGATGAAAAATTGTCAACGCCTTCGCCGGAAATCGAACCACGGACTTCTGGAATATGTGCCCAGTGTGCAGACCACCACACAACGAAGGCATGTTAAGAAGGCGGGAGAAATACCTTATATATTCCTTCTTTTAAAGGGTGCCTGGGGTTTTTAAGAAACCCAATCACAAAATCTTGGGTGTGGAGAATCATCCACCACCCTTTTTAGTTTGGGCATCACTGTAGAGACATCAGTTTTTTTTTTTTAAAGCAGCTAGGATGAAAAATGTGTAACACCTTCGCCGGGAGGGAATCGAAGCGCGGGCCTCTGGAATACGCACCCATCTTGTAGACCACTGCACCACGAAGGCATCTGAAGAAGGCGGGAGAAATACCTTTATTTATTAACATGTCAATAAGATATAAAATAACTATTTATTAAATTATACAGTCCATTAATAAAATAACTCAGTTTGTCATTAATTTGGTTTTCAATTAACTGAAATTTCATTTCAAATTCAAACTGTGCATCAAAAACTGGAGTCGGAGTCGATCGTTTTTAGTGACACTAGCTCCGACTCTTTTTACCCCCAAATCTACCCGAATCCGACTCGGATTCCACAGCTCTTGTATCTAGCATGCGTAAGTCAGCAAGAATATTAAATGATTTCTTGTAATCCATCTGCAAAGAAACTTTTTCTGGAGGTAGTAATCAACATTATTTTCATATTTTATACCGAAAATTCATGAAAAATATTTAATGCATATTCTTGTGCTGTTGCAGCCAATGTAAATATTAGAAAAAATTCTTTCATTTAAAATATTCTCTTCAAATATGTAAGCATGAGATACTATTTTCAGAATTTTATCCAGTGTCGACCATTTATGTATGGCATCCATTCTCTTTGGCCTTCAAGCATTTCTGTTCTATTTTATGCTTAGAAAGTTCACATGACCATTTTTCCATGTTCTTGATTTGTATCCTGTAGCACGTAGTCAAATCAAAAATCTTTTAATGCTGAGTGGTTAAAAGATCATTGAATACTGGGAGTTTGCTCTCAGGCAAATGGACTAGCTGCATTAATGTTTTTTTTTTTTTTTTTTTTTTTTTTTTTTTTTTTTTTGTATTGTGTGACTTGAATATGAGCCATTTTCCCTTAAAAAACGAGTATTATGTTAAAAAATAAGTTCTTAATGGATGTAAACATAAACAATATATTTATATAGAATTTCATTTATGACTAGGAATTATAAATGATGTATGTGGAAGTGATGATCAAACTTACTATTGACGCATACTGCAGGCTATTCTAAGTATACTAGCATCTAATAGGCTTAAAATTTACATGATGCGTAGACCTCGAGGATATAAAAATGATAGGCATTCCTATGCATATATGCAAAGGTCATTCACCATTAATGCCACTTCAAAGTATTAAATTAAGAATAGTAGGTTAAGATTGTCTTTTTGTTGTCGTTCCTCAGTGTAGGAAGATTTAGTATGTATGCCTTACTGAGAAAAATGTAGGGATTGTTGATTATACTGTGAAACTGAGACTTGCATTGAACAAAACTGAGCCCAGTGATTTTAATAAGGAATTATATGGTGAATTAAGTTAAAATGGTGTTAATGTGGTGTTACAAGTTTTAACTGTGTATAAAAAAATTAAACTATTTGTAAGAATTTTTTGTGTTTAAGCAAAACTTTATTGTATTATCAGATTTGAATTTTGATAGGTATTTATCTTAACGTTTCTGCATTAAAATTTTCATTAATTTGAATACATATTTTCTATGAAATTTTTTTTTAACCTTCCTTTCTTAAAATGAAAAAGGAAAAAAAAAAAAAATTCCATTTCTGAGTGAATATATGTGAACTTCTTATTTAAAATCATGCAAAATCTTTAAATTTATTGTTACTTTATTACTTTGCTTCAGTAGCTTATGTGAATTTGTTCTGTTTATACCCCATTTTTAATTCCAGATGAAATTTATATATTGCCTTATTTTTCCGACAAACTGTTGTATAGTGATATCAAGTTCCCTTTCATTTACAAATAGTCCATAGAAATGTACCTGTGGTATTAAATTTATTTTCAGTGCAGAATAATTCTGTTTATACTTGCTGCCCGGAGAATTTTAGTTGACTTTGCCTTGTCGTTTAACATGTAAACTAAATTTTGAGAAATAATGTGAAAGTTTTCCACGTCGTATATAATTCACGGGCGAAACTTTTTTTTTATTTATTTCTACTGTTGAAATAAAAAGCTTCCTGCCACTTTTTTCCCTGAAAAGGTTCGTTCGCTTCATCGGGTTAATGTATACGGCTTCTTTGTTTTTGAAGACAGGATGTTGATCTCTTTCCAGTGGAGGGGATCCTTTGGAAACTCGTTCTTTCGTATTCATTTACCGTGAAGTTTTGTTTTGATATTAAAGTACTGTTTTCTTTACTCTGCATATGGTATTTAATGCAGGAATTTGAAGTAATTAGTAAAGGCACTTTGTCATGTAACATTAATAAAAGGACAGCTGCTTGTGTATTTATTAATTCAGGCATCTGTAATAACTTTATTATTTTGATGATTGAAAACTGTCGCATGTTTTGAAAGCCGCCATGAATTTTTTTTTATATTAGCCGTCTATAATAGTTGAAAAAAAAAACCCGAAAGCTTTGAGATTTTATATTACGCTCTAAAAGGGCGTTTTTTTTTAACATATTACGTGTTACCTTTAAATATCATGTTCTTCGCATTTAAACCATAAAATTCAATTCAACAGCAATATTACAAAATATTTAAAACAGCATATGTTTATAATTTCCGATACACAGTCTCGCGCGCAGGGGATAAAAATGCCCCCCCCCCGTATAGTGTTGCCATTGCTCGCTTTGAAATCGTTGAGTTTCTTAATCAAAAACTCAAATGCTTTACAAAATATGAAATAGATAATATAACAGAATCCAAATTTGGGCTTCCAAATACCTATATTCGGGTGGAGACGTACGTTATTAAAAATATGATGATTCTAGGAACCATTGTTTTACCACAATGGGATAAGCATGCATACATTTATGCAGATTCTTCATTATTTAATTTCTTTAAATATAATACAGGGCTGTAATATTTGATGGCAACAATTTAAAAGCGATTCGCCGTTTATAGTGTAACAACGCAAAATGACAGCGGAATTAATAGTCCTTTTGAGAAAATTGCCGCTTTCGGCTAATCATGGTTCTAAGGTGTGCAGCTAGTCTTAATTTCACCGGTCCAGTTGGTAATTAATAATTTTGATGAACTGTTATTGCTTTTAAATTGCTTAGTTTATTAATATATCTAATTAAATTTAAAAGAAAAATACATTACGCTTAATCAAAAGGCAACACATAAGTATATATGGAAAGTAAAAATATTTTATTTCGGACAGTGGCAACACCTTTCTTTTAAATCGCTAAATTTGTGGATGGAATTTAAAAAACAAATATCCTAAGTTTCACAGAGCTGCATTATATATTTGCTTTTAAATGATAAAGTTTGTTAATCAAAATTTCATTAAGTTCGCACAAAGCATGAAATAAAAATAAATACGAAATTTAAAATTCGAGATCAAGGTGCACATGTTCGGTCGGAAAACTGTTTTCAAAACTTGGAGAATCTGGGCAGAGTTGGCAAAAGGGATTTTTGCTACTTGATGCAATTTTTGTGGCTCCCGAATTTTGCTGTCATGTATATCTCTAAATTTTAAATCTTTTGCCGTCCCTAAATTCTACTGTCTAGTGCGTCCTCTTAATTATAAAAATTTTGCCTCCCTGCCCTAATTTACTGCTCTTTACTTACCTTAAATCTAAAAATTCTACCGCCCTATGCGACCGTACCTCTTGCGCTGGTCTTGGACCTAGATACGGCCGTTTTTTAACAATGCGAAATATGTACGTACTCGTAAGTATTCGTAATTATTTAATAAGAAATTTTATTTTAATGAAGGAAATCAGTTTTAATTCGAGGTGAAAGTTAACTTGGAATAATACTGAAAATTCCTGAGTGATATATATTTAAACCTAGTAAAGAATTTGTGTCTTTTTGTTATATGTTTTAAATCGAATGCAAGTTCAAATTTTATGATGTGTATTTGCTGAATTTTCATACATTAAGAATATTTTAATCGTATTTACTGGTTTGAGGGTAGGAATTCGCGCTACCTTGACTGACGTCATTTATTGGTTAACTGATTGTCCTTGGCGTATGTGACGTATAACTAAACCATTGATCTGTATAAGATTGAAAAGCATCTGCAATTTCGGCCGTTTTTAGTTGACTTTGCAGTCGTCAGTGAGATTTCTGAAGTTACTGAATGTTATCGTTCGTGGCCTATCGGTTTTAGTGATTTTGTTCTGAAATGAGAAAAATGATTGCCAATTTATGGCCGAAAATGCCTTGTCGATACCCTGAGAAATAATGATCGCTAGTTTGCAATTAACCTTTTAAAAAAAAAATAGTGCTTACCTAATTTCTAAAACATATCCAGACTTAGATTTGTAAGAATCGCACTTTGTTCTTTTATGCTTCAACTTTTAAATACATACATTTCTGATTGCGATGTCGTATAAGATCACAAAAATGAAATATTTCATTTCTGAAGAGTATTTCGTTTGAAATTGTCAAGAAAGATACTTAAATCGTCTGCCGCGCGTTGCTATGCGCATAGTCTTGTTTGGGTATCTTACGTCGCTATGGGAACAGCGTGTAGCTCTACTGCTGGTAGTAATGGTGGGTCAGAAGAACCGCAAGAAATGGCCGCCGAAGATGTAGTAGAAACGCTTGATAATGGCTGGGTATGCATAGTTTAAATATATTATAGAAATTAAAAATCAGTTAATAATTACGGTACTAAATGGACTGCAATTTTTTACATTCACTAATTTTCCAGATAGTGTAATGTTATGTTTTACCAGCGCAGTTTTTAATATACGGATATGCATGTTGATCTTGCATTATAAACTGTATATTAAACGAATGTGTAATATTATTGAACTTTGTCTAAACACAGTGGGGAAATGAAATTGAAAATGAGTTGGAAATTTAGAAATTAAAATACCATTTTAAAAAATTAAGTGCTTGATATTTAAAATTGCTATTTTTTAATTTTTAAGGGTGAAATGGCACAAAATGGCTCAACAAACCAGGAAAATTCAACTACCAATAGCATTGATGAAGGACTTTATTCTCGACAGCTGTAAGTTTTTTTTTTTTTTTTTTTTTTTTTAAACTCATTCTTTGTTTTACTATTGACAAGGTTTCATGGTCTTGCAACTTTAAAACACTATCATCATGTTTGATTATTTGGCATTTTTGTGTATTAAATAGTTTTGTTTTGCTTGCAAAAGAAATTTATAATAAATTGCAAGAAGCAGATCTAAATATCTGGTATAAAATCATTTTATTTCATCAGAAATTATTTTTAAAGCTTTATATGCAATCTTTATTAGAAATAGAACAGTGTTTATGTACTATAATAGCATTTATATAATCCTTGAAGGTTTTTCTAAAACTATTTTTGGTCCTCAAAAGTCTGTAATTTTGACCAAAATTGGCAGAAGGTCCTTAATTTTAATAATCTAAAATTTTTCTGTTTTACTATTGCTATTTTGAGTGTGAATTAGCATTTTGGGGGAAATATTTTTTGGCAGTTTCCTGATAACCGTATTTGAGTTATCCCTGCTTTTAATTAAAAATGCTGTGATATGCGAGTTTCTAGGCTAGAAGTAAAACATAAACATTTCCAAATTATTTTTTTCTAATGTTTAACCCATACAGTTTTTTCCTTTTGGACATGTGAATTCTTTTTAAACGTTTTCTAAATTTGGCTGCTTATCAATGTGTTGGTGATTTTAAGATAAATTTCAATATAAAAATTTTTAATTTGGAGATTTGTGAATCAACAATTTTTTTAAAAAACATTACAACATTGATAAATTTCATTAAAATTATATTTAAGAAATAACATTAAATAAAACATTTATTTTTCTGTCTTGTTATATAAAGTGATATTACTTTCCATTTTGATTAATTCTTCTGAGAATACAGTTCAAAGTCCGAAATCCGGATGTCCATTATCTGGAATGATCTAAAATCAAGACCTCAAAACCGCCACCAACGTTTTTCTTATAGGCTTTACGCATGCACATTTGATTGCCCTTCCTTTGCGCATAATAAAACATCTGGAGAGTCCCGATTAATTTTGCTTCAACACTAAATAAAATACCTTATTATTGAAGAAACAATCATTTTAGCTTAAATTTGTGCAATCAGTAATTTGGCTCCATTGCTGCATATCTGCTTGGCATACATCTCAAACCAAAACATTCCACATAGATAAATCGATCTGATGCCAACCTGGCAAATCATTATTTATTATTCTTTCCTTTCATCACTGCATGTTTATCAGAACATGACTACTTGAGTAAGCACTCGTGTTGTGATGCCTAAACAATTTTTTTATGTTAGTAATTGAATAATAAAGGAGTATGGTAACCTATTATTTTGACATTATGCTTGGCGATGATTACAGGTTTAAGTAAAATGTGCTAAAAAATGTTGACGAAGAAAAATTTAGCAATATTTTCTTTCCATATGCTAAAAATAGATTTTGTTGATGATACTCATTTTGGGGTATTTGAATTAAGAATAACTGATTTGTATTCACATAAACCCGCGCCAGGGCTTGTATGGCCACAGAGACAGATCAGGCAGTAAGATATCTAGCACTGGCCCTCAATAAGGCTTAAGTATATGTGGGAATTTATGTATTCAAAGCTCTGATAAGCCTTAAGCGTGTGCAAGTAGACACAAGTCTAATTAATAACTAATACAATTCAGGCTTAATTGTCTCAGTGTGCAATAAAAGCAAGATAAAATTTAACTGAACAACTTGTCGTTGGTCGCCAAGCTCATGATTCATAGCCAAATATATATAGTGAAGGATAGCTAAATTTGATGATAACCACTATGGTTAAAGGTTTTCGAATATCATAAAACAAAAATGAAGTTTTTCCAATTAACGGATTTTGTAAAGAAATGTAGAGAAGCAGTAATAAATAAAGATGATATAAAAGAAGTTTTTCATTGGTAATAACAATGCTTCTTAACCATCAGTCGATCAATGAATGGCAAACTATGGTTCTAGATCCAGAAAATACCGCTACCAATAGTGAAGAAAGGGACAGACAAGTCACTGAAAACCAGAAATTTAACAGAACAACTTGTCATTAGTCGCCAAGCTCATGATTCATAGCCAAATATGTATAGTGAAGAATAGCTAAATTTGATGATAACCGTTAATTTTAAAGGTCTTTGGATATCGCAAAACAAAGGTGAAATTTTCCAATTAATGTATTTTGGGAAGAAATGTGGAGAAGCAGTAATAAATGAAGATGATATAGAAGAAATTTTTCATTATGATAACAATGCTTCTCAACCATCAATCAAGTAATGAATGGCAAAATATGTTTTTAGATCCAGAAAATACCGCTAGCGATAGTGAAGAAAGGGACAGGGATGTCACTAAAAACGAGAAATTTTGATTGTTAAGTTAGTCGGAATTCTAGTAACAGCAGTCGGTTACAAGACTTCAACAATGTAACTGATCAAGAGATTATGTCTATCTACAGAATTAAAGACAAAGTATTAGGACAAAAAATGAAGCAACTTAAAAAACTTGTATTGAAAGAAATGTTTAATAAGGTAAACAAATATTAAGCATTTTTTGTAAATTTTGATACTATTTAGATCATAAATACTTCATTATTTCATAAATCATAATTTCATGTTTTTAATTTTATAATTTCTATATGCCATCTTACTAGATTTAAACTGATAATCTAATATCCGGAAAAATCCCAATCCAGAATTGCCGAAGTCCCGATAAGTCCAGATTTCGGACTTTGCACTGTATTTTGGATATGAAAAATAAACAAGGTAATAAATGCTGTAAAGTGCAATTTATGAAACAATTCTTACCAAAAAGCAATATAGCTATAATTATTTTAAAATGTCTTTTGTAATTTTTTCATGGTAAGAATACAGAATTAAATACATGCGCATGTGAAGTATTACTAAGCACAGGAGTGTGTAGGCCTACATATTTGTCTTTTCAGATTATAAGTTTCTCTTTATGAATTGGAAAAAGTTGAGAAAAATTGTATGCAGTACAGGACCGAACCTAACAATTTTAAAGTATAATTTTCTTTATTGTGCATTTTTTTTTTTTTTTTTTTTTTTACTATATTGGCAGATTTTTTCTATAGAATAATGGTATTTTTGTCATAATTTATCTCCTGTTACTGCTTGAATTATTTGGTTCACTTAGAACTTCAGCTTCACTGTTTCTAGTTACAATTACCAGTACTTTAGCTTCATCTTCCCTTTATCAATCATCCAGTTACCTTGTTTTGCATAATATTGTTATGAAATGTCCAGTTGTGGTAAGATAGCTTTTCCCCAAGGCAGGTTTAGGGTTGCCAGATTTGGCACGAAATTGCTCATTTAGTGACAAAATTAGTAATCTGCCATAGACGAATGGAGAACCTTCTAGAATGAATTATTACCGGTTTGGCCTAAAATGTTCTTTGAAGGCAGGCCAAAAGCTATATAATCCCTGCCTGGATGAGCAGTAGCAGTCTATCAAGTTGATCGTCAGTCTAGTGTTTCTGTCAAGTTGATCATCAATCTAGTGTACATATGAATGAATAAAAAAATTAATGTACTAAATGAAAGCATAAATATAAGCAAAAGATGAAAAACTATAATTTTTTGAATTCTTGCAGATATTGATTCCAAATGTGTAATACTTATATCCAGTTATAATGAAATTGCAATGGATGTGTAATATATTCATAATTTATATAATAATCATACAGAATTTCTTCCATCAGAAGCTTTGTACTGCGGAATGACAAAAATAAACTGGTCGTAAGGATCCATCATTTGGGGTGGGACACCTGAATGAAATTATAAATGCAAATAGTTTTTTGCAGTATTTTTTCAGTTTTAACATGTTTGATTGTTATAATTTGCCATCCAGAGTTGAATTTATTTGTAATTTATTAGCATTTCATCATTTATTAGTACTTGTGTTTTTTTTTCCCCATCACTACCTAATTATCTTATACTGGTTTGTAATTCATTTCAGCTTTCATTCTCAACCTGTAATATGTGCCCCTTGAGGACATAGTAAATTTTCTGTTAAATGTAATATTTACATTAAAGAAATTTTCATTTTAATTGAAGGTATGTTTTGGGTCATGAAGCTATGCGACGGATGCAATCAGCTGAAGTACTGATATGTGGTGCTCGAGGCTTAGGTATTGAAGTTGCAAAAAATATTATTCTTGGAGGTGTTAAGAGCGTTACTATACATGATACAGGTGTTTGTGAAATTAAAGACCTTTCATCACAGGTATCTAAATATTTAATGTCTTAAATTTAGATTTAAATTATTTTACTGAAATTTAAGAGTTTTATCTCTGTTATAGTATTACCTAACAAAAGCAGATATTGGTAAAAATAGAGCTCAAGCAACTTTAGAGCACCTACGAGAGCTCAACAGTTATGTATCTGTTCATGCTCACATAGAAAATCTTTCAGAAGACTTCTTAAAGAAATTTAAAGTAAGTTTTCTATGTCTTTTTTTATATATCTGGTGTTTATATTTTTTATATAGTCTTAACATTTTAATTCTGTAACATATTAAATTTCTTTAAGCACTAGGTTTTTTTCATTAAAAATTTGCAGCGGTTCTTATTTATTTTCATCTTTTTTAATTGCATTATTTTCTTAAGTGTATGTTTTTGTTTTGTCTAAAGGTTTTATATATATATAAAATTTTGGGTACAATTCTGTTATAGGGACTGTAAAAAATTGCCAAATTATTGTTGATATCAAAAATAATTACGGTAACCCTAACCCAAGAAAGAAAGCATAATTATAATTACTTGTCTAAGATTATTAATTTAATTTGATGAAATGTTAATTTAATAATTTTTTTTACTATTTTATTTTTTTAAAAAGGCTAGACATAAGTTAAATTAAATAGGAGGCATAAAATCTTTGAAGTCTTCTAACATTTCAGTTTTTTGTGCAGATGTTTGTACATAAGCTCGAACAAATAAGAATCGAAATGCTGTTAAGTAATGCCTCGATGGCATTCACTATGTCATTTAGCACTGCCTCGCAGCTGCTGTGTTGTTTGTGTATGGGTTCCACTTTCAGGGTCCACAAAATTGTAGTTGTGGTTGACAGTAAAATGTTCAAAGCCAGCATCTTGCTGTTCATCTGACTTGTACGATTTTCAGTTTAATAATATCAGTTTAAATAATGATTCCTTCCATAATATATTCCTCTATGACTATTAATAAGGTTTCCCTGATCGATTTGGAACAGCAAAACATTCATTTGATTCTCTGCACAACCCATTTTGGTGGAAGAATGCATCCAATATTATTCTTTCTTTTACTGAAAAGGCTTTTGTCTACTGTAATAATTTTGCTTTATCCGCAGATTTGCAACTTAGGCGGAGCAGTTAAGCTGTGGCACATACCTCATGCATGTAACTGTTCCAGTCTATAGTTGTACTGTGTTTCATCTTCAGTTAAAGTTCATAAAATTTTATGTCATCTGACATCAAAAATAGATGAAACTAACAGCTGTAAGAAAAAGGATTTTTGATCCTTCGAACTAATTTTGACTTCTTAATCCTTTCTTCTCATTACAGGTTCCATTCCTGCACCACCATTTCACTATTGAGTTACCACTAAAGCAAAATTTAATCTCGTGGTTGTTTGAATATAATTTTCTACCGCTGATGATGCCGTTTCTTTGAAAAAATTCTATTGCAGACTTTTCGTCGTAAGGCATTTCCCAAATTGTTAGATTTACAACGTCAAAAACAAATTAAAAAATTAAACTAATATTTTAATGGCAATCTACAAACATGTAAAACTGTCTAAATTAATGTGCTGTGAAATCGGCATGTTCAGTAGATTTGGCGCACGGTTAAATGGGTACATTTTGCTAGTTTGTGCTTATGTAGCCTTCGCGCATATATTTTGCTGCAATTTCGTACGGACCCCATAACGGAATTGTACCAATTTTCAGTAAACTTTTATTAACTGAAGCATCTATTTAAATTGCGTATTTCTGTCAAAATTATTGAATTATCACATTATTTATTATCAAATAAGTACAAGTCAAACATCCTTTGATTAACAAAAAATTGACATTATAGAAATTAATCTGAAATGATAGGTTCTATTTATTCAGCTTTATAAATGTAGTCTATTATTAACATGCTCATGATTATATTTATGGTCCCATCATTAAAATAACCAAAAATATTCAACTGCCTAGAGATTAGCATGTTTTCTGTTCCCTGAAAAGCTGTATATTATTTTTCCTGTAAACAGCTTGTCGTAAAGCATTTGTAGTTTTATATCCACCAAAATATAACCAAAACCATATATTGTAAATCCGTGGTAATTTTGTGTATATTTTACGCTTTGTTCAATCTCTTTAGGGCATCTAGCTTCATTTCTATTGCCATGTTAATTTTCTTTTCGAACAACATTTTTGCTGCACAGAATATCAAAAGCTCCTCAAAATATGTAACACTTATGTGCCTGGATGTGAACTCAGGAATGATACCTGCAATGAACTGGTGTGAGTTTAGTTTGCAATAAGATGCAGTCACAAAATTTCAAATTAGTTTCCTAACATTTCACAAGAGTAGAAAGGAACATGAGCCAGTCGCTACCGGACTTTCTTTGTATCCTCAAAAGAAGCAAACAGCGTGAACAAGTTTTTACAACATGTCTTAAAATTTATTAGGCAGTTCCAAGAATTAATGGCACAATACGAAAACGGCTAAAATTCCAGAAAAAGACCATCAAACACGTGTGTTTCATTTTAATATATGCATACAATATATATATAAAAAATACAGATTTAGAAAATGCTTTGCTCAAAATCCAATTATTTATTAGGGATTTAAAATAATCAGGATATGCAGATATGTTTCCTAATTTGCTATGGATTTAGAGAGGTAAGTCTGAGATGGGTACTATTCAGTTTTGAGGACCGTAAAAAAATTGCAGCAAAAATGTATGCACATAAGCGCCAAATCTAGCATGCGCGCTGATTTCAAATTGCGTAAGTTTAGATAATTCTACATTTAAGATGCTATTGAAATACTAGTGTAATTTTTTAATCCTTTTTTGATAACATTATGGATTTAACAATTTGGGAATTGCCCAGTGATGAAAAGTCTGCAAAGAATTTTTTCAAAGAATAAATCCAAAGAATTCATTATAGAAAATATGTTTGAACAACCAATGAGATCAAATTATGCTTCAGCGAGACCAAATTATGCTTCAGCGAGATCAAATTATGCTTCAGCGAGCGTAGTGAAATGGCGGTGCAGGAATCCATTCAGTTATGTTTAGCCTTGTACCATAGTCGTATCTCCTCCAAATAAACAAAACCTGTTCTAGACTAAATATTTTTCTCTATATATAACAATGTACAGATTACAATTTAGAAATACTTTAAAAAATACATTTTCATTACAGTAGAGCGTGCAAACTAGCGTCCGCTCCTTTCTCTTTCACATCTCAATCTCCTTTACTCCCACCTGCGACCAGGGGGGAAAGTCCACTCCCCTTTTCCGGCCGAGGCGAGAAGAGGGTTCTCTGTCCCTGCTTTTTAGGGTGGGAGACCAAGTGTTCTTTAGAGAAGGGGTCTCCTCTCTCTCTTTTTCTCAAAGTCTCTCCTCCTCCAACCATGTCATTTACTATTCCCTTGAAGACAGTTTTAACGAACTCTTCGTCATATGCTGCACTTTTTGAATCAGAGATTTTAGCTCCACAATCTTTAGACCCATTGTAGTCTCCTCTCCTAATTCTATCGCTAGGTTATATGAGTCAAATCTTTTTCCCTTTCTCAAGAAAGCCATTTTAACCAAAGTCTTTAAGCTTTGTGCCACACTCAAGTTCTTTACTTAGAATTATCACACACTAATTAAAAATACAATGCTACTGAGATTATCATTACTAATAGTAACCATTAATGCACAATGATTTTACAAACATCGTAAATTATCTGAATCTTAATATAACAAGAATCCAGTATACTCAGTACTACAATTTTAAAAACGCTTGAAATTCCTTAATATTATTAAAATCTAATACACAATATGGCAACATTTACAGAATTAATTTGAGTTTTAGTACGTTTTTACCTGAGTACATACTAATAAAAACATTAAGTAATTCAATCACAACTTCAATAACAATTAGTACACAATAAACCCAACATCAGTAACAATCCAATTAAATAAATTTCAACTGTACTTAATTTAGTAAATCTCAGTTTTCACAACTACAGTAGTGATGATGTTTTTCTTATACATGAAAAAAAAATAAAAAAAAAAAAAAAAAAAAAAATAAAAAAAAAAAATAAATAAAAAAAAAAATAAATAAACATAAAATTGTCAATATTCTTATACTGTTAAATAACAATAAAAACCAATATACATTAATTCCAAACATAGTTAATTTTTGTTGGATCTTACATTAAAAAATGTTAAAACACGACAAATGAATAACAACAGTAAAAAGACTTTCAGTATTTTCTATGCTACTGAATTTCTACCTTATTATTTCAACAATTATGCAAATTGTTATGAGTAATCATTATGAACTAACACCATAACACACATACAGTGGATGGACAAAAATATGGAAACACCTTGTGAAATGCATGTTTGAAAAGAAAGATTGATTTTAATGAAATATGTAGGTGGTGCTGGCGTTTTTGACTACCTACGCCACCTATACAACTTCTTAAATGTGCTAAACAGTTCAGTTGTTTGTCGGAGTACTGTTATGTGAGGTTGTCATTGCATTATGTCAGAGTTAACAGACTTCGAACGTGGGTAAATTGTTGGAGCACGTATGGTAGGTGCTTCCGTAAACAAGGTAGCCGAGGTGTTTAGTGTTTCAAGAGGTACTGTATCGAAGATTTATTCCGCATATTTGAAAAGCGGAAAAACATCATCTGTTAAATTACAGCGCGGACGAAAGTGTGTCCCGAGTGATCGTGACAGACGATCATTAAGGGCAATTGTGACGAAAAATAAGAAGACCACAGCTGCAAAAGTTACTGCTGAAATGAATGTTGTGTTACCGAACCCTGTGAGTGCGAACCTGGGGCTTTCTTCGTTTGTAGGGCGCTGATGGTGTTGGCAACAATGGTTGGGGTAGTCAGGAAAATGAAGTTGTATGGAGCAGGGATATTAAGGAAGTTATTGACCTTCTGGTTGACCCATTCAATATGGTTTTTGTCGTACGGAGTGGGACTAAGAGTGAATGTATCTTCCATATAGTCTGCAAAAGATTTAGCTTATCTTCTTCTGTATATGAAATTCCACTAGGTCCATGGATAGGTGGAATAGGTTTATAAGGTTTCTTGAATTTGTGGGAAATGTCAAATAGGGATATGTCCTCTATAGCTAGGTTATTTAGGAAATTGGTCCATTTTTGGTTTTTGAAGCTTTTGATTCTTTTGTTGATTTCTTTTTGCATAGAGTTTAGTTCGTGTTTGAGTTGTGGATCCC